GTGTGTGTGTGTGTGTGTGTGTGTATTGATATATATTTATACATAAATATATATATATATATATACGTGTGTGCGTTTGTGTATGCATGTATATATATATATATATATATATATATGTGTGTGTGTGTGTGTAGATTTGTATATATAATACTGAATATCGCTCGTACGCAAGGCAGTTCGCAAACCCACCAGACACACACACCCGTCGTGATAACCTACGCTCACATCCATCTACCCGCTGGCATTGCACACCCCTACCCCCCAGTCCCCTCACCCACACACCTTTGTTTCCTCGTCCAGATCATTGACGTCTATGACTTCGTACGAGTATGACACGGCCTTGTGATCCGCCATGCGCAGATTGCGCACCTCATTCACCACATCCTGCTCCTGGTTGAACTGTTGGTAGGTCGTGTGGTGTGGTAATGTGCGTGGGTAGTCAGTGTCTCATATGCAGTGGACATTGGTGTGGTAAGGTGTGTGGGTAGTCAGTGTCTCATAAGCAGTGGACATGTTTGTGTGCGATGTCGCCTGCTACAGTCCTAAGCGGCTTGTTGTGCCTTGCTGAACTGTTGGTTTGCGGGGTAGAGTCATATGTTGGTGGGTGCATAGTGCTTTGTCTCGGTAGACATGTGTGTATATGATGAGAGTGCCTGTTCTTGGTCAGCTGTGGTATGTTGTACATGTGTGTCATGCTTATGTGTGGGCCAATGTCAGGTGCTTGACCAGAACGTCGGTACACACTACAATTGAAGATATTGCAAACAGGCAGTTTGTGTTCTGTGCTGAAATGTAGTTGTGGCGTGCGTTGATATGTCACTGTGTTAGTAGTGTTAACTGTTGTCTAAACCATTACCTACAGATGAATACACACTCTCACGTCACACACGGCTGGAGCGGTGGAAGGATATTTAACGCATAGCAGAAACTTAAACATACAGCAGCAGAGTGTACGTGCCTCCCAGCAAGCTTGCGACGATCGCAAAGTGGCAAACGTATACCAATTCTTGAGGTCTTCTCTTGACACCCAACGGACCATACATGATACACACAGCCCCACTGAGGCAAGCAATGAAGACATATAGGCGTATTGTTATACCTTGTTAGGCGCCGTCTTTCTCCATCTCCGCTTCCTCACATTCTTGAGTGGTGGTGTGATACCGTGAGGCCAGACGTATTGCTTCTTCTTGTTGGAGCTTTTGTTGTTCGAGTGCCGTTTGCCTGCAATATGCGGTGTTTTGGTATACATACTCATTTGTATATATAGATGTGGATGTAAGCGTGTGCATACACTTGAATGTATATTTAGAAATATGTATATATATATATATGTATATGTATATTTATACATATTTGAATGTATATTTAGAAATATATATTTAAATATGTGTGTGTGTGTGTGTGTGTGTGTGTGTGTGTGTGTGTCTATAGATGCAGGGTGGGCACACTGTGATATGGCTCGTAAGTAAAATGCCGCGCATTCATTAAAAACACACAGTAGAACATAGGCGTATATCTACCGGTCAGTAACATCTGGCTCTTCTCACGAGACACATACGTTGGTCGTCGATATCCATCTTATCCTTGTCTTCGCAAATCACTATCTGACAGATGTCTGCCGATTTGTAGAAGTTGATGCCTGTGGGATACAACTGGTGTCGTTAGTGACGGTAGCGATCGGTTGCGAACGAGGGGCGTGGTACAAACAGTTAAACGAATGAGAGAACACTTGTGAGAGATATTACGAATGCGCTGCAACATTCACGTAGACAGCACCTGTGTGTACGAACAGAAATGTATACAAACACAGCTGTTGACTATCAGATAGGGCTATACATAAGCACGGGCGACAAAATTCGACTGAAGGTACTCGTAAGAGGTGGTTAGAGTGCGTACTGTATAGAGTGAGGGTTTAGTCAACCAGTGAGTACACCATACACACGCCGCCATTTAAAACTTCATACAGCTCTCTCACCCCAGATATATATATACATCAGTACCAGTGCACATATGATGTAATATATATATACATATATATGTGTACATATATATGTGTACATATATATACATATGTGTGTGTGTGTGTGTGTGTGTGTGTGTGTGTGTGTGTGTGTGTGTGTAGTATATATAATAATAATACATACATACATACATACATACATACATACATACGACTACATACACTACTAACTAACCTAACTAACCAACCCAACCAACCTAACTAACTTAACCTAACTAACCTAACTAACTAACTAACTAATACTAACTACTAACTA